AATCAATTAAAAAATTATATTCAGGAACAAGACGATTATATTCTTTTTCAATTTGATCATTGCATTTTTCCGATAATGATCATGCATTCAAGGTTTTATCCAACATATCCGATAATTTTTGAATTCGTTCATCATTTAATGTTGAATGATTTGTTGAATTAATTGATGATGAATTTAATTTTGTTTTTGTTTTGTATTAACATTATTTACTATTGAAGCTTTTGAATGTGAATTTTGTATTGATAATCGATTTGATGGGACTATTGATGATACGCATGAACTATCATTTGTTGTTTTATTAATATTTGATCTTATTGCATTAACTGGAAGGCCTTTTATTATTTTTTTCTAACAATAGATGTTTCTCCTTTTCGATAAAAAGGCCAATCATAATTAACTTCTTCACTAGTTAAAATATTTTCAAAAATAAAAAATTCTCCTGATTTGGATTGTGTTGATATTGATCATAATAATAATATATCTAATTGATATTTTACATCATCATGTTTTTATCGAAAAAGAAGTTCAAATTTTTTATATGTTCTTCCAGCTAATATATGAATGAGACATTCTCTTAGTAATCTCTCTTAAGATAATGTTTGATGATTTTTTTTCTTCATTGTTTTGTAATTTTGAAACTTTGCTTTTGATCTTTCTATAAACAGCTTCTTGAATATAAATATTAAGTCATTGTTCAATAAGAGCACAACTTTCAAATTGATCTCGATTTATTTGTTTAATACATTGAAATACTTCAGGTGTTTTATCTTCAGTTGATATATTAAGTGAATATGTTTTTCTTTCACCATTTTTTGTTGGAATTGATATTTCTCCTCCATTAAGACTAAATTCAATTGTTGCTTTTGTTGTTGAATTTTGTTTTTTCAGTTATTTCAATAAAAGTTTGAATTGTTTTCATACATGAATCAGTTAATTTAATAAACATACGCATTTTTCCATCATTTGAACATGCTGTCTTCTCATTGAATGAAAATCTTTGATTTTCAGCAAGATTTTGTCTCATTCCTCTTTTTTTTATCTCTTGGTAAGTTGTTATAAGCAACTTTTCTCATCAGTCTGTAGAGTACGGTATCTGCCTTGTCTTTACACAGCGTGAAAATATGACCCGTAGAGAATCAGAATATGTAAAGACAAGACAGATGGGGTGTGAGTGTGGGTGAGCGTGGGTGTGGGTGTGGGTGTAGGTGTGGGTGTCGGTGTGGGCGTGGGGATGTGGGTGCGGATGTGGGTACGATCTTTAATAAAGTCCACACTCACACCCACACCCACACCCACACCCACACCCCACACCCACACCCACAGCTACACCCACACTCACACCCACACCTACACCTACACCCACACCCACCCACACCCACACCCACACCCACACCCACACCCACACCCACCTATCAACCGAAATAGCTCATTGGTCTGTTCACCAACGGCTAACATGAGCTTACTCTATCTTGAGAAAGTTTTAAATCGATCTTGAAACCATTGTGGATGGGGTGTAGGTGGATGTAGATGAAGAGATAATTAAAATCCACATCCACACTCACATCCACACCCTCATTTTACTACTCTTGTCTGCTCTCTGTTGCATTAGCTAGCAGTTTATATATGTTTATATCCTTCTGAATTAATATCATCCTTTGGCTGTCAGCATCTAAGAGGTGAATCAGTCACTTAATAAACTCAAGCTTTAATTTAAAAAAAAGTATTCTATTGACTTTGCTAGAGTAAGAATAACAGCACAGATATAATATTGTTTATAATATTTTAACAGCAAAATTGCATTATTACACAAGTATGCTTACAATGGAACTGTTTGTCATGTCAGTCGATTTTCTTAACTATTTTGGTGTCAAATGATAGCCCTCAACGAGAAACTACCAAACTGAAAATATGAGCTGCCCGTGGCGCGCCTAGATCGAGATATTCAAATTTTAAGGTATTGAAAATTTAGACATATAATAACAACAGAATTTTTCGAATTCAGTTTTTTTCGCAGTATTAACTATTTTTTTAAATAATGTTGCACAAATTTCGATATTTTCAGAAGGTCCAGTTACGTATGAATGAGAAAAAGAAGCTTTTGATCATCATAGCAAAGCGTTTTTAATCTATTTGTTCTTATTTAAATCGAAAATAATAAGTATAAAGTAACTTTATTGTGATATACTACAAATGAATATGTATTTTTTCAATCAGATGATAATGACAAAAATGTTTCTTGCACCAAGCACAAATCAGAAGTGTTCGATTTTCACAATTATTCATTGAACAATAGAGATCGTAGAATTTGAAACAAATACCCTTTGGTTTTTCAAGTTCTTCAATTGTTTCGTCAATTATTCCAGCATTTATAAATCCTGATTTTATTTGATTTTTAAATGATGGAGCAGATAATTGATTATGAATAACGGATTGCATATTTCTAAAATATTGACGATCGCTCATATTGATCTCTGTCCGATTGATGTGAGTATAATGTTCAATTTTCTTATAAATGAATTTCCATGAACGAAATAAGGATAAGTCTTGTGGTTGAACATGGCCAGTTGATCCTTCCGGAAAAATTAATAGCTGACTTTTTTGATTAGGAAATACTGCTCTAAACTTATCTAGACCAGTTTGAGTTTTCCAACAATCAAGAAAAAGAAGGAATTTTGTGCCAACAACAGGCGCAAGAACTTCCTTTAAGAAAATACGATGATTTTCATCATTACTTTTTCCGGAGGTAGATGCTCGCACAACCACATTGGATGGCACGATTAAGTCCTTCTGCACTCTGGTACCAAATTCATTTTGTTTTTCGTGAAGAATTAACAAAAATTTCTTTAACAAA